ACAATTTACTCAGTCTCCCAGTATCCCTGTCATAAAATTGCTGTAAGTTGTTCTAAATTAGTAATTTAATGGGACATTGATATACCTCTATCATTGAAGAATGGAAATACCTAGATTATCTTATACATGGTAATTCAGTGAAATGATAAAACAGTTTCTACTGCATTATGTTAAGGTATCACCTGGTTGATATTCGTCCTTGATAGAGTGACTACGAGGAAATTATGGAAAGCAATGAGTAGTCCTCTCAATAATCTTTTAATGCCCAATTTACATAAATTGTATGTAGTATCAAAGCATTTTAAAAATAATGATTACATAATAATGAAGGTTATTATTTATTGTTTCTTATATGCTAGGAACTGCACTAAGTGTTTTAGATACACACCTGATAGCATATCACATGCTTTCTTTCCCCGATAGGAAACAAAGAAACATTTCACTGTGAAAACAGATGAAATAAGGGACTGAACCAGTCAAGGAACATTTCTAATATATGGAGCCAACCCAAAATGAATTATTTGTGCTGGACTATTTCCAAAGCAGAACTATAGAGAATGTGCTCACCTTGGATCTTGGGGCTGTGTAAGGTGGCATGTGAAGACAAGTCATTGAGCTATCAAAATTATCTCATCTCCTTTCTTTATTTCTTTTATACATCCAACTACCACTGAAAGTCCATCTTATAATTTAAAACTTCATAAACTTGCCAGTGTTTAATTACCAATGAATCTTTTACAACATTGAATTGGAATCTATAAAATATAATTTATCATTGGGCATAAAACTTTGACTCTTAATATAGATTATTTTATAGATTGATAACAACAGGGAATATTGCATGCAATGGAGGTTTTGAATTTTAATGGCCATTTCTTACTTTCTATTCATGATTTGTCTCTACAATGTTTGCATTTTTAAATCAAAACAATTCAGCAAGAAAGATAGGAAGAGTTTCATCATTCTACCTTTACAACAAAATGATGAATCAGAAACTTTAAGTCAAGAAAATGTATCACGTGAGAGACAGAAGTAATATCCATGCCAAATTGCTCTACTGTCAGCCAATGCTCCTTTCTGCAGACCCCTGACATCTGCTTTGAGCATATTACTCTCTTTTCATAGGTAATTATGGAAATAAAACATTCTTGATATGTATACAAAGCCGGCCTCTCCTAATGGATCTCAGTGGCCCCAGACTAAGGTCAACAGATGAGAGAATCCTAAAAACAACAGAAGTGTAATAAAAGGACCAGATTTTACTTGGTTCAGTATTATTTCAAGTGACAGGGAGAGAGAGGAAAATTTTACAATTGTGTTCTCATTTCCATTGAGTCCTATACATTTATTTTTATATGATTCAGTATTTATTTCTGGACAGAGTACCATTCTTTGTCAATTTATTTAGAAATACTCACAGACATGCACTATCTCTAGAATTCTATTTTTTTCAGTTGTTGTCATTGAACTTTGCAAGGTTTTACAGTGTACTTATCATGGGATTTTTATTTATCTTGTAGTCCTAAAACTTTCAAATGATTCATGGAATGCATTAGCCTTGTGTAGTGAGTCCTCGTGTGTGTCCCATCCTCTAGTAGGGACCTCCCATTCCCCACCATCCCCTGACCCTCATCCCCAACGCAGACATTTGCATTTGCCATCTCCAGTCTAAATGGGACAAGGGTATTTATAAAAGGAAACCTTCACCAGTTAGGAAACAGACATTTTTCTTTTATGGCTGAGCTTTCCCCCTTGGTCCCTCTGTCAGTATCACTGATGAAACTTCAGTTCCTCCCAAAGTCAGGAAAATGTAATACTAAAATACATACATGTATATTTAACTGACAAATGGGAAGACAATCTCTCCACATCCATAACTTTCTTTACAACTGCATAAACTTTATTGAAGAGTCAGGATATTTAGGAAAATCTTTTGAGTTAAAAAAAAAGAGGTAGGTAAGCCATTGTCTTTGTTTTCTTTGCCTCAGCCTTAAGTGAATTGTGTGGCTACATGAGAAACCTAGATGTTGAAATTAATTGCAATGCAGGGAAAATGTTTATAAGTGATTTAATGTAGGCGTAAATGCATTCTGATAGACTAACTGATATGCAAACAATTTTTCCAACAGCCATATACATCGAGGGTCCATGTAATCATGCGCAGTTTCTACTTCATACTTAACAGTGTTTTGAGTCAATCCACATGTTCTCCATCCTTAACTTTCTATTAATAGAACTTTTGGATAGATGAGTGGATACCAAGTTTAATAGATTAAAATGATCTGTAATACACAACTATTTTCCTCCAGGTTGTAACATTCCAGTGGCATTTTTAAGTATGCATGTGTGCATGTACTTTCTGCATTTCCTGTCTCCCCGATGGCAGATGAATAGACACAAACATGAAATAGAAATGAAGATAATAAATAGGAGGAATGATTAGAAATTGCAATGTAAAATTCCCCAAGAGGGAGTACATTATGAGGGTAAATATATTATGACAGCATATGTACATATGTGTACATGTATTGTTATAGCTAGTACTTTTGGAGCACATAATCACTTTCCAAAATGCTTATGGGAATTAGCTTACTTAATCCTCATAGCAACTTCATGAGGAAGGTACTATTATCAACTTCTTTTATAAATGCACAAATTGAAGAACAGAAAGTTAAAGTAAATGTTATCTTTGGCCCAGTATTAGATGGCTGTACTAGGATTCAAGCCCACATAGAATATCTCCAGAATACCCTTAACTGTTATGCTACTCAGTGTGCATCCAAATGTGTCTCTCTCTGTGGGTATACTGATACGTATATGTGAGAATATACACTTTGTACATTTGCTTTTTAGATGCATTTATTGTGTTTATTCATAATTTGGAAACTTTAAAAGCATATTTTTGTTATGTATACCAGCTTCAAACATTAATGTGGTATGAACAATGATGTACGATAAACAAATGCAATATAAACATGATCTCAGGTCATACTAATGAACAGATAGACTCCAGAACAACTGAAATCCCCTCATTCTTCTGCCCTTTTCAGGGAAAACATTATTTAGATTTTTTTTTTTTTTTTTTTTTGAAACAGAGTCTTACTCTGTTGCCCGGGCTAGAGTGAGTGCCGTGGCGTCAGCCTAGCTCACAGCAACCTCAAACTCCTGGGCTCAAGCAATCCTACTGCCTCAGCCTCCCGAGTAGCTGGGATTACAGGCCTGTGCCACCATGCCCGGCTAATTTTTTTTTCTATATATTTTTAGTTGTCTGATTAATTTCTTCCTATTTTTAGTAGAGACGGGGTCTCGCTCTTGCTGAGGCTGGTTTCGAACTCCTGAGCTCAAACAATCCGCCCGCCTTGGCCTCCCAGAGAGCTAGGATAACAGGCGTGAGCCACCGCGCCCAGTCCATTATTTAGATTTTTAGTTGATTATACTTCAAAAAGAACAACCCAAACCGTAGTATACCCACAGAAAGAGAAAAGAATGTTTTCTCAGCAGTTGACAGACAAGGTAAGATTGAGGAATTATTAATCAAATAAGGAATTACTTATTGAGAGAAAAATAGCTGTGGCATTTGAGATACCTGAGGAAGATCAGATTTAACTTCAAAAAATAAAATATGCACCAATGAGCAGAATATATAGGCAGTCAGAGTAAAATTTAACATTAAAGCTTTTTTTCATTACATGAAAATTTAATTGTTAAGGGTGCTAGATATAGTGGTAAGCAGAAATAAATAAATAAACAAAAGCCCGCACTGAGTGTCTGTGTCTGTCTGAAGCTACCCTCAGGAAGACATTAGCAAGTAATTGTCACTGGAGTGGTATAAGTGCTATTAAGTTATGAGATGGTGGGAACACTGTGGTGGGTGTGTGTAACTGACTAGCACGGGGATGATAGAGGGCAGGAGTTGGGCAGAGTTTCCAGAGAAGAGACAAGGCTACACTGGCACTTGAACATAGATAGGCAATTAACTAGATAGACAAGCAGGAAACAAATGTCCAGCCCCCATGGGAAAATGAGCACCAAGTAAAGTAAATATGTGCAAGCAAGGCAATATACTGAAAAACATGCATAGTTCAACATGACTGTAACAAGAGGTCCACTTGGGGAGGAGGTGAGTTAAAAGTTTCTATCAATTGTCAGTGACTTGATTCATAGATTTTCATGAATCATTTTAATAACTCTGAATTTTAACTTTCAGGCAATGATAATTTTAATTTAGCAAAGAACATTCTGATGGAGAAAGGATGGCAAATGAGAAATATTAAAGGCAAAGATATAGTTGCAATGACAGAACTATCTCAGCAGTATAGTATAGGTATGATATGAATGGCTGTGATGCAGTATTCACCTGGCTACCTACCCCTCCTTGCCTTTCACATCCCAACTCATGCTGCTCATTCTCAGTAACCCTCTCTGACCACCTAATCTAAATTGGTCAGATACACACTAGTTTTAATTCTCTGCATTGCAACAATTATTTATTTATTGAATGATTATTTATTTTCCTTTACTGAAATATAAGTCGCCTTTGGGGCAAATGGTTTTTGTTCATTGCTGAATCCCAAGAACTACAACAGTAACTGCAAAATACTCTGGGCTCAACATTTGTTGAATGAATGGGAGAAGAAAGCAAGTCGGTGGCAACAGAAATGGAGAGAAATGGATAAGCATGAGAGGATCTTTATTTAGCAGTATGTGACAACTGATTAAAGGAAGGGATAAAGGGAGAATTGAGCTGAAATTAACATGTTTTCATTTTCTGTTTGGTGACTAAATATACTTTGGACAAATCAACTGAGATAGTGAACATAAAATAAGGCTTGGTTTGAAAAGGTATGAGGATAGGTGTAATTTCTGAACTTTTTGAATTTTAGAATTGCAGGTAAGAAATTTCTCTCTGACTTACTAAATCTTCTTAAAGGTATTATATGACTTATTTCATTCAGCTAGAGGAATCTTTCTAATGACTTCACTGTTCTCTTATCCAGGTCATGAGCCTCAATTGCTCCTTGTGGCAGGACAACAGCATGTCTGTCAAACGCTTCACTTTTGCCAAATTCTCTGAGGTCACTGAACAGTGTTTCCTTCTATTTACCCTCATCCTACTCATGTTTTTTGCATCGCTCACGGGCAATGCTCTCATAGCCCTTGCCATCTGGACCAACCCAGGCCTCCACACTCCCATGTACTTCTTCCTGGCCAACTTGTCTCTCCTGGAGATCGGCTACACCTGCTCTGTCATACCCAAGATGCTGCAGAGCCTTGTGAGTGAGGCCCGAGGAATCTCTCGGGAGGGCTGTGCCACACAGATGTTTTTCTTCACCTTGTTTGCCATCAGCGAGTGCTGCCTCTTGGCAGCCATGGCTTTTGACCGCTACATGGCCATATGCTCCCCACTCCACTATTCAACACGAATGAGTCGTGGGACGTGTGCCCAGTTAGCAGTGGTTTCTTGGGGAGTGGGATGCCTGGTAGGACTGGGCCAGACAAATTATATTTTCTCCTTGGACTTCTGTGGCCCCTGTGAAATAGACCACTTCTTCTGTGACCTCCCACCTATCCTGGCACTCGCCTGTGGGGATACGTCCCATAATGAGGCTGCAGTCTTTGTTGTAGCAATCCTTTGCATTTCCAGCCCATTTTTACTGATCATTGCTTCCTATGGCAGAATTCTAGCTACAGTGCTGGTCATGCCTTCACCTGAAGGCCGCCATAAAGCTCTTTCCACATGCTCTTCCCACCTACTGGTAGTAACACTATTCTATGGCTCAGGGTCTGTCACCTACTTGAGGCCCAAGGCTAGCCATTCACCAGGAATAGATAAACTCCTAGCCCTCTTCTATACAGTGGTGACATCCATGCTCAACCCCATCATCTACAGTTTACGGAACAAGGAAGTCAAGACAGCTCTTCGGAGAACTCTGGGCAAGAAAAAAATTTTGACTCATGGATAGGTACCAGAGGATACTGTCTTTGGAAAAGATGTACACACAATCCAAGAGAAAACAAAGAAAAACCTGTGTACTCTTCTACCTGTCTTGTAAGGAGCTTCTTTAATAATAGTAATTATAATTTTGAAGTCATCTCTGTAGTCAGAGCAAAAGCTCTGGTTGCCAAATTCTGGAAGGGAATTGGCTGCTAAAGAATTTCAGTGGTTGATTCCAACACTAGACAGGTTTTCAAAAATATTTTACTCTAGGGTTAGAATATAAATTACCAGATTACCTCAGAAGCCTGACAAATTCTTATTCTACATTCTCAGGCATTTTCTAGACCTTGCAGGACCTATCTGACTTCTGCCCTGGTCACAAGAGGGTGCGTTCCCATAAATGCCTGTCCCACATGGCTCTTAATTCCCTCATAACTCTATGGAGTGAACTATTTACTTCTGTAAAAATGTTTTAAAATTCTTCAACTTTAATTACTAGTACATAATATAGAGTCAAAAATTCTTTTTGTGATTTTCATGTACCATAAAAATATGAAAATATTAATAGAGGAAACTCAAGTTTAAGAGGTATTTATTACAGAATATTAAAAGAAAAATATGGGAAACTTTTATCAAGAGTTCTCATGGTGAAAATGTTTTTAAAAGGAGAATTAATATTAAAATGCAAGGGTGGAAAAAGAATATGGAACTAAAATTAATTAATATAAACCATTTTTAAAATTTTTATTTAATTTACAAAATTTATATAAGGGCAAATGATTCCTGACTCAATATGTTTAGAGATCCTTCAAAAACATGCTCTTAAGAGAAATGAACATGGTCACAGCACAGTTCATTAGCTCTAGGCACCTATAGAGGCATTGCTTTGGAATTAAATATCTAGTTCTCAGGGAGGTGTTGCATTAACATTTGATCTATGAGGAAATTATAACTACTCATATAATAGTTGTAATATAACAAACTGCAGAGAACTGTAACTACTACCATGATCTAACTTAAGGTTATCTGCCAAATAAAGAGGTTTAATCTTCTCTCAGAAGGTGATATTTCTGCTATCAGGGGATAATAGTGATGCCCACTAATGACCAAGGTGTATGTTTTCTAGATATCCAATTTTACCAAAAGCTGTCTAAGTCATTAACTTTAACATAATGCTTTGTGGTTTTTATTTATGTATGTATAGTAATTAACAACGTAAATAATCTGAACATGCAAAAATAACCAGTTAACAATTACATTACAATTAAAAGCAGGAATTATATTCAGACATTAGAGATGATAATTTATGTTTATCAATCTAGAAACAAATGAATCATTTATTAAACAATAAAGCAAGTTTAAAAATTGTATAATATGAACTCCTTTTGTTTTTATAAATTTATAAATAAATTTGAAAGGATCAAAATGAAACGTTAAAAGTAGTTTCTCTAGGAAGTCATAATATTGCTGATTTTTTCTTATCTTTGTGTCTAAGATATCATCAGTAAACATGTAGTTCATGTGTAATTGAAATATGAAAACATTAACTTGGTGATTTTTTTATTAAAACCAATATAATACATGCTCTTCAGAACAATTTTTAAAATATGTAAAAGTATTAAATTTTTTTTTTATTTCAGCATATTATGGGGTACAGATGTTTAGGTTACGTGTGCTGCCCTTGGTTAGTATTAAAATTAAAGCTTAATTCAGCTATATTCTTGCAACCCAGCAATAACAAATGTAAATATTTGAGTTAATTTATTTTAGCCTATTTATTTCTGCTCACTACAAATCATTGCCACGATAGATTATGTTATCATAACATACTGTCTTGAAAGCAGTTGAAAATGAAAAGCACCAAAAATACATATTTTAAAACATTTTACTGTTTAATGTTTCAAATATTCATGCTATCATTAATTACCCCACAATATTTTCTATATTAAATATTCCTGAATAGTTAGAAATTTATTTCTAGCCTGATCCTTGGGCTCTGTTTTGTTTGGTTTCAAAAATGGTATACATTTTCCTCAGCACCAGCTACAGCAACAATAAAACAACAATAACTACCAGTTAACTGAATTCTGACTATGTAAATAGGAAAGCTCAAGCTCATTAAATGTATTGTCTAATTTGACCTTCAAAACCACCCCTGTGCTATTACTGTCCTTATTCTACATACACGGAAACTAAGAGGAAACTGGAGCAACTCATTCCACATAAAAGATGAATCAGTATTCAGTCCAGGCAGTCTGGTTCTATAACTCAGGAGGCCAGGCCACCTTCCATGATTTCTAAGGTTTATTACATTTTTTCTGACTCCCTGTACCCTTTTTCCCTGAGATAAATAGAAGTGAAAAGAACCAAATAGATCCAGAGAATGTCTCTACTAGGAAGTTACTTACCTATGAGATTTTATGGCTTATTTTATAATATTTTTTATTTTGAAACCCTCTCTGTTGGTTTTAATCAGCAATATTCCATGTAAACAATAACTTTTGATTCACTTTTAAGAAGAATCTTAAAGAAAACCTAAGCAATATGTAAAGTGACTACTTTGAAGTAGACATATTGCAAACCTCTTTTCTAGGTACACTGTAACTTCTGTTTACATAAAAATCCAGTCATAAGTGTGTCCTGTCTTTTTTTTTCTATTTTTTTTAATTTCAAAGTACAAATATTTTTGGTTACATGAATTGCTTTTGCAATGTTTGAGTCACAGCTATAAGTGTGCCCATCACCAAAATAGTGTTCATTGTACCCGTTAGGTAGGTTTTTCCTCCTTCCCTCACCCTTCCTGCTTGATTTCCACAAAGTTTTACATTCCTGTGTCAGCATGTGTGCTCATCAGTTAGTACCAGCTTAATAGTGAGTACATGTGGTATTTGTTTTTTTGTTCTTGAGATAGTTCACGTACAGAATGGTCTTCAGCTCTATACAAATTCTTGCAAAAAGCATTAATTAATCCTTTTTGTGGCTGAGTAATACTCCATGTATACATATATCACATTTTGTTAATCCATTCATGAATTGATTGGCACTTGGGTTGACTCCACATCTTTACAATTGTGAATTGAGCTGCAATAAACATTCAAGTTCAGGTGTCTTTTTGATAAAAAGACTTCTCTTCCTTTGGGTAGATACCCAGTAGTGAGATTGCTGGATCCATTCTACTTTTAGTTCCTTGAGGAATCTCCGTACTGTTTTCTAGAGTGGTTGTACTAATTTGTAGTCCCAACAACAGTGTATAAGCATTCCTTTCTCTCCACATCTATGCCAATATCTGCTGTTTTGGACTTTTTAATAAAAGCCATTCTAACAGGGGTCAGGTGATATCTCATTGTGGTTTTAATTTGCATTACTCTGATGATTAGTGAGGTTGAGCATTTTTTCATATGTTTGTTGGTCATTTGTCTGTCTTCTTTTGAAAATCTTCCGTTCATGTCTTTTGCCCACTTTTTAATGGGGTTGTTTGTTTTTTTCTTGCTGATTTGTTTGAGTAGATTCTTGATATCAGTCCTTTGTCAGATGTATAATTTGTGAATGTTTTCTCTCATTTTGTAGGTTGTGTGTTTTCTCTGTTGATTATTTCCTTAGCTGTAGAGAGCTTTTTAGTTTAATCAAATCTCATTTGTTTATTTTTGTTGTTGCTGTGATTGTCATTGGAGTCTTAGTCATAAATTCTTTGTCTAGCCTGATATCTAGAAGAGATTTTACTACTTTTTCCTCTACAGTTCTTATAATTTCATGTCTTATATTTAAGTCTGTTATCCATTGTGAATTAATTTTTGTGGTAGTGAGAGATATCGGTCCTGTTTCATTCTTCTGCATGTGACTATCCACTTTTTGCAGAACCATTTACTGAATAGGGCTTCATTTCCCCAGTGTGCATTGTTTGTCTGCTTCATCAAATATCAGTTGGCTATAGGTAGATGGATATATATCTGGGTTCTCTATTCTGTTCCATTAATCTATGTCTCTATTTTAGTACCAATACCATGCTGTTTTTGTTACCATAGCCTTGCAGTATAGTTTGAAGTCTGGTAATATGATGCTTCCAGGATTTTTCTTTTTGCTTAAAATTGCTTTGGCTACTTGGGCTCTTTTCTGTTTCCAAATGAAGCACAGAATTAAGTTTTCTAGAACTGTCATTATCACAGGGGTATTTTGATGGGGATTGCATTGAATCTGTAAATCACTTTGGGTGGTATGGACATTTTAACAATGTTGATTCTATTAATCCATGAGCAAGATGTGTTTTTCTATTTGTGTCCTCTGAGATTTCTTTCCTCGGTGTTTCATAGTTCTCTTTGTAGAGATCTTTCACCTCCTTGGTTAAGTAAATTCCTAGATATTTTATTTTCTCTGTAGCTATTGTGAGTGGTATTGACTCTTTGATTTGACTTTAAGCTTAACTGTTATTGGTATATAGAAAGGCTACAGATTTATGTATATTGATTTTGTAACCTGACATTTTGCTGAATTTATTTATCAATTCTGGAAATCTCTTGGTGGAGTCCTTGGGGTTTTCTAGGTATGAGATCATATAGTCAGTGAAAAGGGATAGCTTGATCTTCTCTTTCCTGATTTGAATACTCTTTATTTCTTTTTTTTTTTTTTTACCTGATTGCTCTGGCTAACACTTCCAGCACTATGTTGAATAGAAGTGTTACCAGGGCACCGTTGTCTTGTTCTAGTTCTTAGGAGGAATGTTTTCAACTCTTCTTCACTCAGATTTGTTAAAAAGCATGATATTGGCTGTGGATTTGTCACATATGGATTTTATCATTTTGGAATATGTTCCTTCTATGCTTAGTTTATTGAGGACTTTTATCATAAAAGGATGCTGAATCTTGTTGTATGCGTTTTCTGCATCTACTGAGATGATCACATGGTCTTTGTTTTTGCTTCTGTTTATGTGCTGAATCACATTTATTGATTTACATATGTTGAAATATTCTTGCATCCCTGGGATGAAGCCCAATTGGTCATTGTGTATTATTTTTTTTTTTTTGATGTGCA